CTAATTAGTGCTCCCCTCTTGTTTGATCGATCTCCTCCAAGATGGCCCCAAGAGGTCCCAAGATGGCCCCAAGATGGCACCAAGAGCCCGAGGAGGCCCCCAAGAGACCCCCAAGAGGCCCCAAGAGACCCCCCAGAGGCACCCAAGATGCTCCAAGAGGCCTCGGCGAGAATGTCAAATCATTGATTTGACGAAGGAATGAGCCACATGTTTGCCTCTTGGGGGGGGGCACTGATTAAGATGACTCCAAGAGCGCCTGGGAGAGCCCAAAATGACCTCCAAGATGGCTCAACATATCCCAAGGTGTCTCAGAATGGCTTCCTCTGTGTGCTGCCCGCTTCCCTGATCGAGGCCATTCCTCTGGGCATCGTTTCTGGATGCGCTGGTGGGGATTCGCGAAGCGTCAACAATTTGAGGGGTCACAGTTGAGGCGGCCTGTGTTGGCGCCGATCTTCTCTTCGGACAAGGTGCTCCCAGACAGCGGGCGGGTGTCAGCTCCGCCTCCACGCTTTCCCTCCCCCGGCGAGCTTCTGCACCCGGCGCTCTGGCAGGCAGCAGTCGGTTCAAAAGAGATGCCTCTGTGTTGCGCAGTCTTGCCACCGATCACGGAATCTTCTTTCTGAGCAAGTCCTACTAGTACGGCTCCATCACCACTTTTGCCCCAGGTCCTCCCTCCTCTCTTGCTGTGCGTCATCCGTCACGGGGGTGGCGTCTGTCTCGATGAACGTCGTCATGTTGAGGAGACCAGCCTCGCATTTTCGGAATAGTCTCGCAAGCCTTGCTTCTTTTCTTCCAGGCGGCGATTACTTTACACTCCACAGGTGGTTTTCGTTCTTCCCTCCCCCTGCTTGGCGGAGCCGTCATGCGAAAATGTTTGGCGTCAGCCACATTAGTCTGGTGCTCCGTGTCCTCGGCCTCATCACATGGGGCTGTGATGATCGAGACCTGCCACGCTGATGCTATCGCATCGGCGCGAAAGTGTGCCCCACACCACAGCGAAAGGTCGAACATGCATCTGACCAGGTTTCTATGGTATGAGGCGTTCCAACAAAGGCGCTGCCTTCGAGGATCGAAGGCGTTGTCGGCGGAAGATCGGGGAAGTAAAATGAGGCCGCCTCCGCCGGCGGAAGCCGGCGGACGGCGACGGAATTAGAAAATCGCTTCCACGAGATAAGAAATGTTCTGGGGTTCAGGGTCCCCGAAATCCGCCATATGAGTTGGCAGGTGAGGCGAGCGAACGACGGGGGTTGCAGATTGTCATGGTCGCCGAGAGGCCCGGACGGCCGCCACGGCTCCTCATCAGGAGGCGGCACGTTGTATGTGTATTTCTTGGCCCGCTCAACATCGCCCTCTTGGTCCTGGAACTGTTCGACGTGTCCCTGAATGCATCGGATGCGTCCCTCCTGTTATGATGTTCCAACCGACTTTAACTTTGACCACCAGGGAAAATTTCGAGTACCAAGAAAGTGCCGAAACTGGACGGTTTTCGCGTGTCGGGCCCTGGGAGGCGATACTCGCTCGACACTGTTTTGATATTTTTCTGGGTGCTCGAAATCATATCTGGGAGGGGGTCCTTAAGTACGATAGGAACAGCATAACCCTCTTGCTAAAGATTAGGACCCTCCCCACGGGCCGCCGTGTTCCTTCACCTTGGGGCGGGGAGTGGTCGCCAGAGAGGCGGCTTCTTGTGGAGATCAGTTTGTTGTGTCAAACTTACCCATCCCGGAGTCGCCCGGGTTCCGCCTCGTGACGGTGAGTGGGTGTCACAGGCGGAATGGTAGTGCAAATTGCCCGGGGAGGGACCCCTGAGAGGTTACCCTCCCGCCGCTGGGTCGCCTTGGCGGGGGTCAGACGGCGAGGGATGGTTAAGCGATGCTAAGTGTGTATGATTTCTCCCGCAGCTTATGTTGTTATTTTTCTCCCGCTGGGTCGCCATTTTCTCCCTCAGGCCGGGCTGTGGGGGGTCTAGGGTCATCTAGCTGCTCCTTCCCGCCCGGTATTCTTTTTGCCCGCCCATCACAGTCTCTTGGCGGGGACGGGTTTCCTCATGCATGAGGGGGTTCCTCAGACGTGAGGAAGTATCAGGGGGGGAGCTGTTGTTGCTCTTGTAGTTCGGAGGCCAACAACGCAGTTTGGTGACCCCACGCTGTCCATTGTAAGAAACAGGGTGTGGCCCTGGGAGAAGTATTTAATTGACAAATGCAATGGTTACCGGAGGGGGGATCAACAACAAATCATTATTTAGAAATGAGAGTTCACTACCAGCAACAACAACAACAACAGCAGCAACACCAACACCGGCAACACGAACAACAACACCAGCACTAATAACAACAACAGCAACACCAACGGCAACATCAACAACAACAGCAACAATCATGTGAAACTGGTTCGCTAAGCTGTTCGTTTCTACCTGTTCGCGTGCTTTTCAACACGTATATCCCGAACCCTCATTACCCGCCTTCTTCGTCTTTGATCGTACCCCCTTGCGGGTATATCTTCCTTCCCTGCAACGTGCATTTAGTGCAGCCCCTGAGGCAAGAGAAGAGAGGACGGATGGAAGGGGGAGAGAGAAGGATGAAGCACGGGATTTGCAGGAAGGGGCTCGGAGCAGAAAACACGTGGCACAACCAGACGGGCCGATCGGGCGGGTAGACCCTAACGGGTGGGTCGGGAAAGCGGGCCCGAGCGGCCAGGTCGAGCAGGCGTGTTGCTGAAGCATGAGTCCTGCATGAATCGCGAGGAGAGCTCGACCGATAGCGCGATTCCCAAGTAAATCGTGAGAAAGGCCAGCGCGAGAGCGTGATTATTGGGTGTGGTTGGCGCGGCGCTGGAATAAATTGCGAGGAAGTTCCACGCGAGAGCGCGATTCATGCATACATTGTGAAGGTGTTCCGCGCGAGAGTGCGATGTTGGAATACATGTTGAGGAGATATCACGCGGGAACCGTTGTTGTTGTCGTAGTTCGGGGCCCAACAACCCAGTTTGGTGACACCAAGCCTTCCCTTCGGGTGCGAGCCCGGAGGGGTGGCACTTCATTTGAAAAACCGCCATGGTTTCCGGAGGGGGGGCTCAGTTAGAAGTATTTGAAACAAAACCATTCAACAACAACACCACCAACAACGACAACAGCAACAACACCACCACCAACAACAACGGTTACCGCCTGATACTTCCTCACAACGTATTTCAAAGTCGCGCTCTTGCGCGGGACTTCCTCTCAATGTATGCAGGAATCGCGCTCTCGCGTGGGATTTCTTCACAATCAGTTCAGACGCCGCGCCCTCGTTACTCGGGAGTCTCGCGTTTGGTTTTTCGGGCGATTTGCTTGGAAATCGCGCTATTGCTCGAGAATTCCTCGCGATTCATGCAGGACCCACGCTTCAGCAGCCCGCCTGCTCGACCTGGCCGCCTGGGCCCGCCTTTCCGACCCGACCGTTAGGGTCTGTCTACCCGCCCGATCTGCCCGCCTGGTTCTGCCACGTGTCTTCTGTTCCTAGCCCTCTTCCTGCTGATATCTCTCGTGTTCCTTCCTTCTCCCTCCCCTTCAATCCGTCCTTTGCTCTCCTGTTTTAGGGGTTGCGCTACATGTACGTTGCAGGGCAGGAAGATCTACCCCCAAGGGGGTGCGATCGAAAACAACGAGGGCGAGTACCGAGGGTTTGGGACATACGTGTTGGATGGCACGCGAACAGATAGGAGCGATCAATATCAGCATGACTGTTGCTGTTGCTGCTGTTGCTGCTGTCGTCGTCCTCGTCCTCGTCGTCGTCGTTGTTGTTGCTGCTGTTGCTGCTTCTGTTGCTGTTGTGATTGCTGTCGTTGTTGCTGTTGTTTCTGTTGTTGTTGTTGTCGAATTCTCATTTCTAAAGGATAAAGATTGTTGATCCCCCCTCCGGGGCGCATTTTTCCAAGTCAAATGCTCTTCCCATGTTCTCTATCAGAGAAAATCTTGGGTCTCAGAACTGGCCCCCTGGACCCCGGGCTACAACAACAACAACAACAACAATCATAGTATGATTGTTCGCTCTTACCTGTTCGAGTGTCATTCAACACGTATTTCCCGACCCTTCGCTACCCGCCTTCGTCGTCTTCGACCGTGTCCCTTTTGAGGGGTATATATTTCTTCCCTGCAGGCCAGGCCCCGGCAAGCGGCGGGGCGGCCGCGGACCGTCGGCCTGGCCAGCGGCAGCGCTGATCGGCGGCAGCCCGACCCCAAGAGGGACGGACACGGGACCGACCACGACGACGACGACGGCGACGACGACGGCAACGACGACGGCGACGACGACGCTGGCGACGGCGACGGCGACGGCGAAGGCGACGACGACGACGACGAGCGAAAGCGAGAGCGAGAGGGAGAGCGGGGCCACGACGGGCAGGGAGGGGGGCCACGAAGGGCGACAGCGAGGCCACGAAGGGCATGCGTAGGGGGCCACGAAGGGCAGATAATGCGGGGCCACAGGGGGCAATGACGGGGCCGCTAAGGGTAGCAACGGGGCCACGCAGGACAGCGAGGCTACGAAGGGCGTGCATATGGGGCCACGACGGGCGCGAACGAGTGGGGACCACGAAGGGCATGCGCATATTGGGCCGCAGAGGGCACGGAAGGGGCCACTGAGGACAGCAACGGGGCCACGAAGGGCAGCGAGGGGGCCACGAAGGGCGACAGTGGGGCCACGAAGCGCATGCATATGGGGGCCACGACGGGCGCGAACGAGCAGGGGCCACGAAGGGCATGTATATGGGGCCACCAAGGGCAGCGAGGGAGCCACGAAGGGCTGCAACGGGGCCACGAAGGGCAGCGAGGGGGCCACGAAGGGCTGCAATGGGGCCACGAAGGGCTGCAACGGGGCCACGAAAGGGCAGCGAGGGGGGCCACGAAGGGCTGCAACGGGTCCACGAAGGGCAGCGAGGGGACTACGAAGGGCTGCAACGGGTCCACGAAGGGCAGCAAGGGGGCCACGAAGGGTTGCAGCGGGTCCAAGAAGGACAGCGAGGGGGCCACGAAGGGTTGCAACGGGGCCACAAAGGGCAGCGAGATCCCGAGTCCTAAGTCAGCTGTGGGGGAGTCCTAAGCGTGAGCGCGATACCTGGGTGCCTGAGTGTCAGGAGCGCGGCGCTTGAATGAATTGTAGGGAGCTCAAGCGCAAGAACGCGATTCTTGAGTAAAGTGCATGCAAGTCTCGAGCGAGGACAAGAACGCCGAGGGAGCGATCCCTGAATAGATTGCAAGGAAGTCTGAAGCGAGAGTCCTGGCGAAATTGTGAGGAAGTCTCAGGCGGGAGCCGTTGTTGTTGTAATCCGGGGGCCAGGGGCACAGTTTGAGCCTAGTGATTTTCCCGGATAGTAAAAACAGGGTCAATTGAAAAACAAAATGGTCACCGGAGGAGGGGGGGTCAACAATAACTTTTCTTCAGTAGCGAGAGCCCATCAACAACAGCGGTTCTCGCCTCATAATTCCTCACATTGTATTCCCAAATCGCGCTTTCGGGGGCCCGGCATCGCCCCCGCGACTCATGCCTGAACCCCCCAACACCCATGGCAGAATTCTTTTCTCCGCGGG